CTGGCAGTGAAGTCAGGTCAGAACATGGCAGGGGTTATTTCAGTTCATGTCAAAGTAGGTCAATAGCCCAGTGGCCAGGTCTGCCTCAAACTGACCGGGGCTGGGAGCTTGGCTCCTCTTATTCATTTCTTCAATTGGGATAAACTTGTCATTCAGTTTCTACCAAGGACAGCACAGGGCTGTCTCCACGTCTGCTGCTCCAGACTGCGTGTGCTCAGCGGACCTGCTGCACCTAGCCAAAGTCCTGGTGCTGCTGGGGACCCGAGTCTCCTCTGTGCACCACACCATGGAGAGCCCAGCAGTGGTGACTGATCAGAACTAGGCCTGGTCAAAGCTGTCCTGCTGCCCATGGTTGACCAGATTGTTGATGAGGACAGGGCTAAAATACCTAGGGATATTGCTCCTGAGAAGCAGGAGCGTGTGTCTCCTTCCTCAAGTGACTCACCACAGTTCAGCAAAATGTTCCCTTTTTGGGAAGGAGAAAATAAATTACTTTTCTAAAGGTATAAACTTACTAAATCACCAACTTTAATTTTTAACAATAGATTAGAAAGATAGAAATATTTAAAATAGGCAGTAAAAGGGTAAGAGAAAAATATAGTCTAATTCTTAAAATCTTCAAAATCTCTGCCATGTTTAATTTCTCTCAAATTTCATTTTATTAAGGTCATCTTAGCAGAGAACTTTGCAATGGCTGACTTCAGTTATGGGGGAGAAATGTTGCCTGGGCCAAGAAGGTTGATGTTTGCTCTGCAAGCGTAAGGATCTGAGTTCAACTCCCCAAAACCACGTTAAAAACATGATGTCACAGCCCCAAGGGTAGGGAGGCAGAGAGCTGAGCCCAAGCCAGTGAGTTCTAGGCCCATTGAGACACTGCCCTTGAAGAGGGTGGACAGAGCCTAAGATCAACACCCAAGAGTCTCTCCAGCTCTGCACTCACACTCACTTTCAGACATGTGCACACAAACACACACACAAAATAAGTTTTCTAGGTAAAGCACAGTGCAACACACCTGTGTCACTTAGGTTTTGTTAGAAGAGAGAACATGCCATAGGCTTCTCTCTCTCAGAATCCTATTAAATGTGAGAGCCATGATCTACACAATGTAAACCCTCACTGTGAGTGACAGCTTTTACGTATTTAATTTCTGATTTTAAAAAATCATAAGCGTTCATATTATCCTTCCTGTCAGTTCTTTGGAATCTCCCAGTCTTTTGTCTTGGGCATTAGCTGGGTTTTTTATCCTGTCTACAGCTGCCAACAGAAAACAGAATTTCATCACAGCTGTTACTAACCCAGGATCTACAGTTTGTAAACATCCCCACGCCTCCTGTGTACTTATGGAGGGGGAGGTCTGTTACAGACGTTATCTGTGTGTTGGTTCTCTTTTTTCTCTGCCCTTTTCAATACTACTTACTGCATTTCTTACGCACCGCGTGGAAGCCAGGCTGGTGACAGGCCAGCAAGATGCGGGTATGTCCCTGCATGGCTGGTCTCTCCTTCCTGACCTCTCATCTGGTGGCCCCTCTTGGGACGGCAGTAGCTTTTGTGAATGTCAGTTTCTTTTTTTCTTTCCAGTTTTTAATGTGAAGCCTGTCGTGCATGGATGCTTTCTTTTATTCCAACACTTCTCTGTTGTCTGATACTTTGATGGCCTGCCTGCTCTTGGGTTTGCTTTATCCTCGGTGACTTCCTAAAAGCTTCTGTTCTTCAACTCTGGAAAGCTTAATTACCTGATCAAACTCAACAAATTATTGTTTCTAAAACTCAGTTCCATATTCCTAAGTTCTAGTTGCATCGTGGCACATCTCAGGGATTGTTATTAAAAGAAAGCTTGGAGGCTAGAGAGAGACAACTCGGCAGTGTAGCGCATGGACTGCTGAAGACCTGAGTTGTGTCCCCGCACCCACACCATGCCTCCGATCTTTGACTCCAGTCCCAGGAGATCTGACGCCCCCTTCTGTCCATAACAAGAACTGCACTCCCATGCACAAGCCCACCCTCACACACAAACACACATAATGTAAAAGGAAAAATAAATAAGAAGGAACATTTGAATACTATGTCTAAAGTCGTTGGGCTGCTGCTCTTTAAAGGCACAGAGATGTTTCCATTCCCAGGTCCCATGTGAACACCGCAGCCACACTCCTTTGAAAGGAGAATGCTAGGTTTTACTTTGACACCTCTCCACTCCTCCTTATTTAAGTCATAGACAGTATGGCCTTTATATATTAAAGCAAACTGACTAGTAAGAAAAGATTGGCCTTTATTTACTGGCTACAGTTCTAAGTACCAGAAATGGATAATGGAGGGCAAACATAGAGAAAGGAAAAACGAGGCACCGAAGGGAAGCCAAGGTTTGGAACTGATACAGCCTCATTGGCAAGCCGTGCCTTTCTCACACTGTTTACTCAAAGTTCAGGAAGAAAGGCAGAAGAAAGGCAGATCTAGTACTACTGAAATGAGTACACACACACTGGAATGCTCATGCCGTGTAGTGAGACCCTGAGCAGTCAGGCAAATATATGCACAAACAGTTCTCTATGAATAAACCTACTACCCCAACCTTAGCACTCAAGGTGACAGCGAAAGTCAGCAGTGTCCAGCACACGATGACTTCGCTCGGTCACGATGGAAAATACTCCACTTTCTATCCTCCATCTGTCCATAGTTGGACCTGAGTGTATTTTGAACCCTTGACAAAATGAACTTTGAATCTTAAGGGCCTTCAGGGTTTCTGTCAGAGACAGCGCCATCTTGCTTGGGGAGGAGCTGTGAGCAGTGTAGTTTCCACTGTTGGGTTTCATCTGTCTGTTCTATGCGTTTGTTTTTAATTACACGTCACCTAGAGTACGTTCTCACAGTCTCTGTTCAGAGCCTGTGTACCCGAGGGAGATGCGTGAATTGGCCTAGAGGAAAACTGCCTGCTTCGTGCTGTAGGAGTAATTGAGAGTTTCAGAATATTCCTGGAGTCTCTGTACTCAGTGAGAATGTTAGGTCTGTTGTGGATTGGTTAGTTAATATGTGAGCTTGCATTGTTTTGTTTGAAACAGAATCTTCCTCTGTAGCTCTAGCTAACCTCAAACTCAATATGTTTTGGGCCAAGCTGGCCCCAAATTTCTGTAGCTCTTCTTGCCTGTGCCTCAGGAGGCTGGGATTGTATGTGAACACCACCATGCCAGCCTAGTGTGTTTGCTTGTTTGTTTTCATGGGCAGTTAATAAGATAATAAGATAAGATGTGCGTTATGAATGGAAATATTGTTCTAGAAAAATCCTTATATGAATTTCTATGTCTCTGAACATGGCACAATTTAAATGGTCCTTTTCCTTAAGTGGGGTACTACGAGACCCCACTTGAGGGCTCATCCTAGTAACTTAGGCTATAACCCAGCTACTCAGGAGGTTGGTGAGGGAGGGTCACAAGTTCAAGGCCAGCTTGAAGAAGTATGGAGACCCTGTCTTAGAATAACATGGAGTGTGGGGATTGGGAATGAGTCTGTGGTAGAAAGTTTGCCTATGGTGTATAGAAACCTGGGTTCAGTTCCCAGGTCAAAAGACAGACATCCTATGTGTTTTTCTTTTCACATAAAAGAACTTGTGTGGGGGTCCTCCTTCCCTCTTGGTGTGTTGGCCACCAGTCTGAGAGGCGAAAGAGGCAGAAGGGAAGACAGAAAGCTTTGTATGCGGCCCATGAGCACCCATGTCTCCGGGAGACAGATTTCAGTGAATCAGCTCAACTTTATTCCAGAGTATAAGGAATAAATAGGATTGGGGAGCTGGGGACAAACTTAGTTGACATTAAGTGGCACGCTCCTGTCGCAAGGCTTTGTACGTGGCAGTAGGGTCCTGTAGCAGAGCTCCCAGCACAGGTCATCTTAGCAGGGATCTGTGTCAAAGGTCAAGCTAAGGATGAATCAGGAATCTGGTTTTAGAGGCAGGCATCTGGTTTAGAGACAACTTTCAGATAAGGTCAGTCCTCCAGGCCCAGGAGCATTCTCCAGATAAGGGCAGGAAGCCTTGAGGGAGTTTCCATACTGTTGAGTTTAGAGAAAGAGGCCAGACCATGGGAGACCTCTAACCAGCCAGCAGTGTATTCCAACAAACTTGACAGGTATTCATAAGAAACTTAGAATGAATACAGTGTGGGGAGGGGGCGTGCCATGGGGGGCAGGGAGGTGTATATAGGCTTTCAACCAATGTTCCAAGCTTATCAGACATTGATGTTCAAGTCTATGCACAGTGGTTGAGCTCTTTTGGGAAGAAAACAGATGTGGACAGATGATTCAAAGGCTTGTGACCAGTATTTAGGGATCTGTAAACAAACAGCTCACTATCACTGTAATGTGTGTGTCAAGGAGTTTAGGCCACTGTGACAGAAGAGACAAGAAACACCTGCCTGGTGTTCAGCTGCAGATGGGCCCTTGGGGAGTGGGAGGACTCCTGAGAAAGGCCAGGCTCCTTCCAAGGTGGCAATCCTCAGCTCTGTCAGAAACTCACATGCTCTACTGGCCATGACCACCACCCCAAGTAAGGGAGACCTTAGCAGTCGTGATCCTTACTGCCACATTGTCCTGTGTCTGAAAGGACCTTCTGATACTGTCAACCAAAACCCTGCAAGAAATGCAAGTCCGAGGGCTCTGGGCCTTGGTGGCAGGTCTGAGTGGCTTTTGTGTCAGGGTGAGGCTTCCCTGTGGGTGCTTTATGTTCAACATGGGTCCTCTCTGGATGCCTTATTCTGTTGTTGGTTCACCCAAACTAGAAATTTCAGCAATTGTTTAAAATATTTCTTCATTTTCTTATAGTCATTTGGTTTTTTAAATTGCATCCATTTGGAAATGTCACAGCAAACCCCCATTTGTTTGTACAATAATTTTTAAAGTTTTTAAATGAATGAGTCAACAAGTCTAATGATAATAATAAACAGGAAAATTAAGAGTGCAATGTGCTGGGTGCCTCTCTGCTCGATAATAATGCCGGCTCGTCTCTGTGCTCTTCCAGGGAAAGAGAAACAGTGGCTTCAGACAGTGTTTCTTTGGGAACCAGAAGCATTGCAAGTTGACAAAACTCTGTCCAGCCATGGGCTACACGTTCAGGCTCGCTGCTCGGAACGACATCGGCACCAGGTATGGCGTCTCTTCTTCTTCTGGCCCTTCAGCCTTCAACGCATGATTCTGGCTGTCTCTCACATTGCCTGAAGGTTGGAGGAAGCCTCCTCCACACTCAGCAATTCTGAGAGGAAGTTCTAAGGAAGGAGAAGGCCTCTGAGGTGACAGAGCACTCTGACCTGTACTCAACCTCACCGCTGTGTTGTGAGGCCCACTAGAGGTTCTGGGGACCAAGAGGAAGGTGGCAGTAGAGCTTTGTGAAGGAGGCCATCCTCTTGGGTGTCCCCCCCCACCCCCAGCCCCTGTTCCTTGTTCTGTGTCACGTGGCGATGCGCCTGTCCTCCAGGCCTCTCCTTTTCATTTGTGTGACTGTAGCTGATACAAAGAAAATGCCGCCTAGAGACCATTGTCCTCAAGTTACAGCATCAGAGAAAACTGGGCTGCCTGTCTGCAGGTGTCTCCAGGCTGCAGGAGGAGGGGAAGAGGGGCCTAACCAAGGAGCCTGTTGATTAAGGGGCTTTGAAAAAAGACCATGTCTCAGTTCTTGCTAGGTAACTCTCGATCAAGGGAAAAGTCTTTTCGTTTCCTGACGGCACCTTAGACTAAGCGGTTAGCTGCCCAGCCTGGAGAACCCCTCTGTAACATCACAGAGTTTTAGAACTGCTCCCAGTGCCTAAGAAGCAGTAGCGATACAGTTTTTTATTGTTCGGGGATTTTTAAATGAGTTAGGAGCACCACAGACTTGGAAAACAGTTTGTAAAACTCATGATCCTGCAACAACGTGACTTGTTTGTACACACATTTGTGCGAAGTCTTTTGATAGCCGCTGCTCGTACCTTGATAAATGTGGTGCCGTGCTGTGCTTTTGAGGGAGATGAAATCAGAAGCCAGTTTTGTTACAGCTGGAGTGCCTTTGTGAAATGCAGACAGTGGGGACACAATAGCACAGTTGAGAGCTGTGGTGGGAAATGTCCTGTGTACAGGATCCTTTCCCACCACACACCAGTGGGGCTAGGTAGAGGCATACTCTCCCACTTCTAAAATGCCGGGACTCCTGACACAGTCCTGATGGGAGGTGGTGTGCTCTACACTGGGAAGCATCTCACTGATGTCTCCTCTGTTCGTTCCTCTGCAGTGGACACAGCCAGGAGATGGTGTGCTATACACTGGGAAGCATCTCACTGATGTCTCCTCTGTTCGTTCCTCTGCAGTGGATACAGCCAGGAGATGGTGTGCTATACACTGGGAAGCATCTCACTGATGTCTCCTCTGTTCATTCCTCTGCAGTGGTTACAGCCAGGAGATGGTGTGCTATACACTGGGAAGCATCCCCTGATGTCTCCTCTGTTCATTTCTCTGCAGTGGTTACAGCCAGGAGGTGGTGTGCTATACACTGGTTAACATCTCACTGATGTCTCCTCTGTTCGTTCCTCTGCAGTGGATACAGCCAGGAGGTGGTGTGCTATACACTGGGAAGCATCCCCTGATGTCTCCTCTGTTCATTTCTCTGCAGTGGTTACAGCCAGGAGATTGTGTGCTATACAGTGGGAAGCATCTCACTGATATCTCCTCTGTTCGTTCCTCTGCAGTGGATACAGCCAGGAGGTGGTGTGCTATACACTAGGAAACATCCCACAGATGCCTTCAGCACCCAGGCTCGTCCGAGCTGGCGTCACCTGGATCACACTGCAATGGAACAGGCCAGAAGGCTGCTCGCCTGAGGAAGTAATTACCTACACCCTGGACATCCAGGAGGATGAAAATGTAAGTCATGCAGCCTCCGCACCTACAGAGCATCCTGATACTTTCCTACCCAAGGTCAAGGCCACTCTTTGTTTCTACCACGGCCATCACTGCTGTGCACGTCAAACCGCCCTTCTGCAGCTCAGCAAATGGCTGCTGGTCCTTTCAGCTGGACTCATCCCATGACGCCAGATATAATCAACAACAAATCTTTTTAAACTTTCTTCAAAATTATCCAGAAATCTAACAAATGTTCACCGTCTCCACAGCTAAGAAGGCCTCCTCAGCACAGCCTTCCCCTTGCCTTGAACGACTGCAGAGGCCCCTCAGCTGGGCCTCAGCAGCATCATTGTGTTCTTTGATCACTGTCCAGAGCACATCCCACCTGGCCACCCTCTTGCAGAGGGGTCGCAGCTCTCCTGATGGCCACCCCCACTGGCCCTGTGTGCTTGGGTTTTGTCTCTGCCCTTGTTACTTACCCGTTGTGCCCTGGCGTTTTGGACTTGTGTTTCCTGTGTCTTCCTGCAGGGAGCTCCTTGAAGATACTGTCCTCACTTTCCTGGTTTCCTTTGGGTCTCTTCTCACAGCTCAGCAAATACCCTCCTAGGATAGCCTTGTCTGACCACTCTGGAACATCTCTGTTGTGTAGAACTCTGTGCAGTGGTAGACACATCTCATAGCTTTTGCAGGACGTGTGTCTGTGAGCATTTGAAATATGGCTACTGACCAAAGCAGCTGTATTTTTAATTGTATTGAGTTTGAATCCCAAGAGCCACATGTGGCTACTGTACTTGATCAACCCCTTCTGCTGTGGCAGCATCTCAGGGGCTCCAGCAGCCCGTCTCTTGCCTTCATATGCCTTCACAGCCTACAACACCACGTGGCATGCCTGCTGTGTGTGTAGGGTTTTATTTTTCGATTGCCCTCTTTAGATGACATGTAAGTGTCTTGTGGACCAGGTTCTGTATGCCTTTTAGCAAGGCTGATTCTCTTGAGCCTGAAGGGATCCTGATGCACAGAAGTTGCCTGGGAGGGAGGGACAGAGGGAGAGAGGATGGAGAACACTATGGAATGGATTCAGTGTATTCACCTACAGCAGTAAGGTCTACCCTTAAAGGAGAATGTCCTTCCCCATCCAAGCTGTGCTTTCTCCCTTAGCCAGAAGAGAGCGCTGTAGCTCAGGAACCTTGCATGCCTACTATTGCATAGCCCTTTGCAATGTCAGCCTCCCAATCAACAGGCTTTTCTCGGGACACATTAATTGTTAAATGAAAATATTTCAAGTGCTTATTGCTCTGTCATACACAGTTGGCCAGAGCCAGGCTACACTGCCGTGTGACAGATGAGACCTGAATTTAGAAAGCTTGTCCACGGCACAGTGGACCCTGATACTCCATTAACAGTGGCTGCCAGCTTCCAGGCTCACTGGTGGAGATAGGAAGCCACAGTAAAAAGCTCTGGGTCCTTCGGAATTTGAGGCCCGGATGTTATGATTCTGATGACTCTTTCTGGCTTTGCCTTTTCAGGATAACCATTTCCACCCAAAGTACAGTGGAGAAGATCTAACCTGTACTGTGAAAAATCTCAAAAGAAGCACACAGTACAAATTCAGGGTGAGTCTTACTGCCTGGGTGCTAACACTGACTGTTTAGTGTTTCTCCACTTCCGTTTCCAGTGCAGTCTGCCGGCCAGAAAGGGACTAAAATGGACAGCACCTTCAAAGTGGCACACACACCTTCGAGCACCCACCATATTTAAATTTGAAAATCTAGTTTCTAGACAGAAAACCATGCAAGAAGATGCTGTTACAGCGAGGGCGGGTGTCCAGCCGGGAGGACCTGACCTGCAGCGTGTGTCCCTGCACTCCCCAGCGATTGCTGCCTCCTTGTGCCGCTTGTCCTCAAATGCCCTGGCTGTCCAGTGCCCTCTGCTCACTCTTTGTCTGTTGTTTCTCTCCCTTTTCCAACCCCTTCCGCAGCTTAGGCCAGTGGTTCCCAACCTTCCTGATGCTACAACCGCTTAACACAGTTCCTCATGTTGTGCTGACCCCCAACCATAAAATTATTTCATTGCTACTTCATAGCTGTAATTTTGCTACTGTTATGAATCATAATGTAAATGTGTGATATGCAGGATATCTGATGGGACCCCTGTGAAAGGTTCGTTTGACCTACAGGTTGAGAACTGCCACCACTAATGTCCCCGTAGTGATCTGTGAAGGCTGCTTTGTGTTGCTCATGAGTGCCTCCTCCTATCCCACAGCTTCCTGTGCTGGCCCTGTGCATGGCACCCTTCTTCCTCATATGCCCCGAGGTTTCTCCGCCCTCCCATCTCTAATTTTAGGGCTAAGTAATTTAATTTGGCGTGTAGTCACTCCAGTATTTGTCAAATTATCAAGCAGAATGTTGTGACTGACTATTTGAGGAATATAATTGTTTTTGGTATGCTAAAAATACCAATGTTGGCTCCCAGAGCATAGCTGTAGTGCTGACATTCTCCACCAGGTGGCGCTGTCTGACTCTTCCATAAGTAAGTGTTTGTCTGGTTTATCCATGTTTTCTTTTCATCAGACAGCACAGAATGGTGGGAACATACTGATTTTATATATGCTGCCACTACAGCCTCCTCTTCCTCCTCCTTTATTGAAGCATAGCCTTACTCTGTATTCCAGAATTGCCTGAAACTTGCTACATAGCCTAGAAAGGTTTCAAACTCACAGTTACCTGCCTCCAGCTCCCACGTGCTAGGATTGCAGGCGTGTACCATTACCCTAGGCTTATAGTTCCTCTTGTAAGGATATACAAATACCTTTAGCTAAAACCTACCTTATAGTTTTATTTTTAATTGTTAATAACCAAATTATAAGCAAAATAAGTGATCACAAACACTTAAATCAACGGTCTGAAGAAAGAAAACATGAATGGATAGCTGGATGTATCAGAGTCTATGTAGCTGACCTCGCAATGTCACAAAGACACCATCGACTTAATTGTAGCCTATCCCTTACGTGCGCTCTCTTCTCGTGGCTGCGTTCCAGCTGACTGCCTCTAACATGGAAGGGAGAAGCTGCCCAAGCGAAGTCCTGGTTTGCACAACCAGTCCTGACAGGCCTGGACCTCCGACCAGACCCCTCATTAAAGGACCCGTCACATCTCATGGCTTCAGTGTCAAGTGGGGTACGTACGTCTTCTGTTCTGCCACTGCTGGTCCTTTGTGACTCATTTTAACTTCAGTAGTGACAAATCAAACACAGAGACATAATATCATGTGTGAGGGCATCATGCATGTGTTAGGCATGTGTGAGAAGCATGCTGAGGACTGGAGAAGGCAATGGTTCTAATGTATGGCCAGACTTTAGCGGACTCTCTAAGTAAACAATTTTAAGAGTATTTAATTTGTCCCATAATTTTCTTATATTACATTTTTCCTCCTTATTTAAATGCATTGTTGATTTGAGTCTCAGGATTCATGATTAGATAATTCATTCTTTAATGACTCACCTTGAAAAATTTATTAGAAAAATATTTTTAAATTAATACTGAGATTTCAAATTTAGATATGTAATTTTTTTTAACTTGCAAAGTGTTGAAATAAAATAGGAAGAATTCTGTTTTTGTGTTGTTTGTTATGTGGCCACCACCCTGAGCTTCAGGATTTTTCACTTGGTCTGAGATAACCTGGGAGGACATTGAAGTTTATCTCTGCAGTGTGGGTCATTTCAGGGAGATGCATATTACTGCATTGTTGTAACATTTGTGATTACATATAAAGTAGTTAAGACATGTGCTTTGCATTAATGTCATGTAAGAATATGCGTAAATAGAAAGTGAAAGGCAAAACAGAAAAATTTAGAGTTCTAAAGGTACTGTATGTGGGGTGCAGTTTAATGTATAGACCATCACCAGAGACCATCAGCAGAGATAGTAAGCTCAGGCATACTATCTTGAGTTACCAAAGAACTCTGAGGCCTGCTTTCCCTGGAAGACAGGTATGGTTAAGAGAAAGTGGAGGATTCCGGGCTGCTTGTGGGTCCTTCCTCCGAGGAACCTGTTCCCCTGAGCTCTCCCCTCGTTCACCTCAGCGCTATGCTGGGTTTGTTTTTAGTTATTGTTGTAAATGTTATTATGGAAGTATGTGTGAGTAATGCAAAGGCCTGGGGCAGTGAGCTTCCTCAGTCTGTGTGAATGAAGTCAAGACCTTGGAAAGTCTCCCCTGCGACCAAGGATGTAGAGGTGGCAGCCTGCTGCCAGACATGAATTCTCACAGTTTGGCAAAATTATTCTGCCTCACGTTCTCATACGCACAAAACAAAGCTCTTGCAGCAGAGACCATGAGCATTTATCCAGGGTGACAGAGGGACCCTGGTAATTGACAGAGTCTCCTCCCCACACTGCCTGGTGCACATGGTGATCACAGCTCTGGGGCTGGACTGGTTCCCTGGGTGAAGATAGAATGTTCCCTTGGTAGAAAGTGTGGTGGAGTACATGTATTCCATTCCAACATTTTATTTATTTTGTCAATGCCTTTTTTTCCTCTCCCCTTCTCATTTTTCAAAAGAATCTAATTGCTCATAAAATATATGAAGTAAAAATAATAAAACAAGATAAATATCTGAACATTTCAGCTTTGCATAAAAATCACCAATTCTTTTTTTTTTTTTTTTTTTTGGTTTTTCGAGACAGGGTTTCTCTGTGTAGCTTTGCGCCTCTCCTGGAACTCGCTTTGGAGACCAGGCTGGCCTCGAACTCACAGAGATCCGCCTGGCTCTGCCTCCCGAGTGCTGGGATTAAAGGCGTGCGCCACCACCGCCCGGCAAAATCACCAATTCTTAAAGAACCACTTCAGAATTCTCTGAAGTAAAGTCATGTTTATGGAAACCATTCCACTCATCAAGTTTCATGCATGTTTCACTAAATAAATGCCAACTCTTACATTCCATTCTGCATTTCAACAACCTCAAATAGAAGCCTGATAAAACTCAGAGTTTCTTGACACTGAGGAGCCATTGTGTGGCGGGGGGACTCATACCTGTAATCACAGTACTGGGATAGGGTGCTGAGGCAGGAGAATTGCTGACGCTTTGAGGCCAGCCTGAAGTATGAGATGCTATTTCAAGAAAATAAATCAAGGGGCAGGGGTCATGAAAACAAAGAATCGTGCCCTTTGGTCCAGTCCAGACTGAAGGGCACATAGTGGTGAGTTGTGTTGTTCTCTGTGAGGATGTTTCCCAGTACCACCCTGTCCTCTCCTAACTAACAATGTTTGCCTCCTCTCCAGATGCTCCAAAGGACAGCGGTGGCTCAGAAATCCTTAAGTATCTGCTGGAGATCACAGATGGAACTTCAGAAGGTGACACTTTGGGAACTTTTATACAGTGCTTTCACACCCTGAGTTCTTGGCCTGATGTGGTCAGAGCTTCACAGTAGCAGCAGCAGGCAGCCATTGGTTCTCATGAGAGAGCTAGCATCGTGGTCAGGCCATGCCAAGCAATGGCATATCCATCTACATGTCTGTCTGTCTGTCTGTCTGCCTGCCTGCCTATCTATCTATCTGTCTGTCTATCTATCTATCTATCTATCTATCTATCTGTCTGTCTGTCTGTCTGTCTGTCTGTCTATCAAGCTATCATCTCCCCTTCCTCCCTCCTGCTCACTAGAGTTTGGTCTTGAGTTTGTTTTTTCTTTCAAGCACCCTACCTCAGCAAGCCTTCTACACCAAACTGTACCCCTGAGTACAGTTTTCTCTTTCAGCTACCACAGTTCATTCTGTTTGAAGTACCCGTTTTTGACATGTTGGAGGTTTTTGTTTTTGTTCTTGTTCTTGTTCTTGTTTTCTATTTTCTATGTCAATTATGAAACCACAGGGTAAATAAATTTGAGGCTTTCTCCCCTAACCTGTCACACTCCTGGACATTGTGGGCAGGGTCAGGAGCATCTACCTGGCATCCTCCCATGTCCAGTGACAGCCACGTCAGGGCGACCACGTCAGGTCAGACTGTCAGGACAGGTTTGGTCTCCATTGTGACTCTGGAGTTAGAGTTCTCATCAGTAGTCTGACTACAAGGATTAAAGTAGGGCCATGGCGCTTGTCACCGAGTCACGTGACCTGACTTCAGTCCCTGGAACCCATGTCAAAATGGATAGAGAACCAGCTTCACAGTCGTCCTCCTACCGTCCCATGTATGCGGTAACATACATGAATGTGTGCATGTGCCCCACCACACACGCGCGCCCCACCCTACACATGCACCACATGCCCCACCACACACGCACACCCTACCGCACACATGCACCCCTACCATACATGGTAATTTTAGTGGGACAGTGTAAGAAATGAAAATCTAATTTAGAGTCCCTAGAAATGCTCTTGCCTTTCTTTCTGATAAAACTCATTGGGCGCCAATAGAAAAAGATAGAGTTGTCAGAACTTCCAAACGTGGCCTGATAAGGCTGCTGCCATCGTTACTCTTTTTAAAGTATGCATGCCTATGACAGAGAGAGAACTCCGAGTCACTGCGAACAAGTGATTCTCTTTGCTTTTGTTCTGTGTGCCACAACCACCTGGAGCTGTTGTTGTTGTTGTTGTTAAGCCTGTCGAGTACTATTTTAAGCTGAGAATAGAGTGCTTGGAGATGGGCACAGCTGTTCTTAACATGAAATCAGGTTCTGCACTGAAGAGCTTGATTAGCGTTTCCATTAAGACTGAGGGAGACATCAGGGCCTAACAGCCGCTTTCTGAGAAAGTGTGAGTCTGCTTTCCTTTGTCCTGTCTCCCTCGGGTACTGAGTCAGTGCAAGAGTGGGTGCTGTTTTACATTAGCATCAGCAGCTGGCCAGTACCTGGGGGTGACTAATAGAATCTCTTCATTTGTCCTTGGCCCAGCTGTCCCTCAGTGCAGGGTGTCTCCCCGTTACTCAAGCACCACTGTCTGAATTCCCAGTTCCCGTGGCTCTTTATCCTGACTCTGACCTAATACGGTCCAGTGCCACAAGGTAGGGATAGAAGTCTGGCATAATAGGCAGCTGAAGGGATCTGTGTCAATCCACTTATAAAACACCGTAGAATAGGTTGAGCATATTTTCCCTAACACAACTCGTGGAGCAATGGACTTGTGTAGATGGGCAACTAGAAACCACATTAGTAAAAACAAAACAGAGAGAAGACATCCTGCCACCTGAGGCTGAAGCAGGCCGTGGTGGGGTGCCTTCCAGGTACTTCTCCCCAGTGGGCATCAGCCTGGGGGACACACCCCAGCCACCCTATCTGCTTCCTTCAGTCTCAGAACCTGGGACAACCCGAGTCACTCCAAGTGCCCCCTTTGATTTCTCACCACTGGGTCCATCTTCAGAACTGGGCTCCTTCAAGACAGCAGGCCTTTACCAAGATCTCCATCTGTAAAGGAACAATGTGGCCGGCTGCCACCTCAGCAGCACCCAGACTCTTGGAAGCCTGTGCCATGTGGACAGCACCGGCAGAGCTGGTCCTGTGGCCTCCTCACCGTGGCATTTCCCAGCTGTTCCACACTGTCTCTGTACCCTCCTCCTGTGCCAACTCCATGTCCTGTGCCTTCCCACAGCCCGAGTGTTACAGCGGTCATGAAAAATGACCGTGTGAATCAGTGTCAGGTGATGCTGGGTTTCTGTGGAAGGCGCTCAGTGTTTGTCTCAGATACTGTTTCTAATGGGACTGTGTTACAGAAGGCTTGAACTTACACCCCTCTCGTTTTACAGCTGGTCAGTGGGAAGTGGCCTACAGTGGGTCTGCTACGGAGTATGTCTTTACCCACTTGAAACCGGGCACTTTGTACAAACTGCGAGTCTGCTGCATCAGCACCGGTGGGCACAGTCAGGTTGGTTCATCAGTGTGACAGCAGGCCTCTTGATCAGACCGGAAGTGCCGTGCCAGTGACAGCAGAATATGCCGCCGTTTAAATGTGTCTTGTTGACGCTGCCTGCCCTGGTGTCTCGTCTGGATACGGAAATCGTCTTTCCACTTACACTTACCCAGATGATTCTCTGCTGCATTCCGATGCATTCGGGTCATTTGTCATTTGGATGACTGAGATAGTTACATCTTGTTAGGATGAAACTTGTTAGGATTTGCATTAACTAAATAAGGGAGACCCCAGTCATTTCAAGAAGGAAAAAGTATAGACTTTAGAGTCAAGACCTGCATGGTTGTGCTGGTTTGTTAGCACAGCTCTGCAGGTTCTTTGCTGCCACCTGCTGGGAGACTACTGGAAAAACAATATAAATCTGTGGCATTTCTGCTGTTGGGTGATTAATTTCCAGTGGAGGCCTGCAGGCAGCAGCCAGCCATGTTTCATCTCTTGTCTGTTTGACTGTTGACGAGCCAGAAGACTCGTCATGACTGTAGGCATGCTAGAAGACTCAGTTTATACCACACACAGTGCTCAGAGGTTCGATATAATCTAATAAATGCATGCAAAGTACTCTTGAAATAAGAGTGTGGGTGTAATGTTGACATTCACAAAAGAGGCACTGTGATGAAAGTGTTTTCACTGTAGATGATGTAAAACCATTAATGATAAGAAAGAAAAATGGTACCTAGTCACCCAGTAGCAGATTGATTATTAAATATAAGGCTTGCCCTGTCTAACACTTTCCTGAATTTTACACACACACATACACACACACACACACACACACACACACACACACACACACACACACACACACACACACACCCATGCATAGCGTAGCAGTTCCTCAGTATCTAGAGTTCCAGTCTAGACATACTCCCTCCAATTAGAACACTCTTATACAGTGCTAGGGCTGCCCGGAATGCATCCTTCGGAGTATATCCAGACCAAAGCCATAGAGCATCAGTGATACCTCCCATGTGAGGGGCTGTGCGAGTCAGCATATGCATTCCTTGAAGGCAGAGAGTTCATTTCCCATACATCACTGCTCTGGGAAGAATTGGAGCTGTCTGGCTCTGCCACCAGCCTTACACACCCACAAAAGGGAGGCCTGGTTACTTCAGCATTGATAGAACTACTGTGAAAGTCTTGGTGGGCACGTGCCCCCTTTGACTGCTCCTCTGCCATTTCTGTGACTGGCTGGCCATTTAGGGTACCATTCTCAACTTTATCCAGCTGCTGTTTTGTGTTCTCTTGCATCCTCATGAAGGGTCTTTCTAATGTTGGTGTAAAGGGAAATACGTGTGCTTAGGGTGATCTGACATGAGAGAGAGGCACAGTGTCACTCTTGTTATAACCAGCATTGTATGCAATGAGAGCGAGCCCACACTTAGACATCCAGACAGGCATGACCCTCCTCAAGAGTTTAATGCATCACCGGCATACACATCTGGTGTGTGATTCCTTTTGGTCCCACTTACAGTTGTGACATAGCATTAGCCTGGTAGATAAGATGCGAGCAGTTCACAGTAACTAAGCAACAGTCTCTCTGGTGTTTCTCCCACAGTGTTCTGAAAGTCTCCCTGTTCGCACACTAAGCCTCGCGCCAGGGCAGTGCCGACCACCGAGGGTTTTGGGTAGACCAAAGCACAAGGAAGTCCACTTAGAGTGGGGTGAGTGAATGAATCTTCATGTTGGCATCAACCAGGACAGTGGGAGATGAAGACACAGTGCTTCGTCACTGGGCTCCAAAGCTTCCTTCTAAAGCTGTGCTACCCTGTTGGCATATCTGTGTTCTCTGTAACCTGGGCACCTTGGGGTTCCCTCACCCCACACCCTTCACCTGCTCATGCTCCCATCCCTGCGGGTGCTGCATGTGATTTCAGCGGTCACATTTCCAGAGGAAATTCCAGAATAGCTGCCTTGTCCTGGGGTTGCTCAGCACGTGAAAAAAATGTGCAAAATTTAGAGATTAAACTAAGAAATGGTTCAAAGAGTAGCATCGGATTCCTCAGTGGGGCCTGGTATTTTCCTAGCATTGCCTTGCACTGTTCCAGTATGCACATTGCAAGTGTAAATGTGGAGAACATTAGCAGACATTTGGGTCCCCACTTACGTCTAGAGTGTAATAAAATAATAGGCCAGTCTGGGGTCCTGTAGACTTAGCATGACACCTGACATTGAAGAGATTTTTTCCTTCCCTCCTTCCTTTCCTTTTCTCTGTGTGAAGGTTTGCCAAGTGCTCCTGTTACTCCTGCATTCTTTTTAATACAATGGAACGTTTAAATGAATTTGCTTTGGATAGTTTGGATCATTCAAGAGCTCTTTCACTGTTTCCATTGGGAGGCTCCTCTTGTCATAGAAACTCAAAGGACACACCACCTACATACTTTGAAAAATAACAACAAAAAATCAAATGTAACTCAGTCAACTGGAAATCCAGAAAATTCAGGCTGAAGAGATGGTTCAGTGGTTAAGAGAACACTTGCTGCTATTGCAGAGGACCCAGGTTCAGTTCCCAGCACCGGCATTGTGTCTCACAACCACCTGTAGCTCCAGTTTCAGAGGTTTCACTGCCCTCTTCTGGCCTCTATACACAGTGCACACTCATAAATACAGGCACACACACACACACACACACACACACACACAAATAAAAATGAAATAAAGTTAAAAAAGGACTCCAAGAAAATGCTCAAAGATGAAAAAATGTTTGCATCCTCAGATGTCCCTGCATCTGAACGTGGCTGCGAGGTCTCGGAGTACAGTGTGGAGATGACGGAGCCTGAAGACGTAGCTTCCGAGGTGTACCACGGGCCTGAGCTGGAGTGCACGGTCGGCAACCTGCTCCCTGGAACTGTGTATCGCTTCAGAGTGCGGGCTCTGAATGATGGAGGGGTGAGTGTGAGGTGACCCCCACCTGGAGCACAAGTGCTTCCTCAGCGCCCTGAAGTTCCTCAGGAGTGTGCCCCACACTGATAGCCGCTACACTGTGTATAAGATCCTGTCTGCAAAGCCATGCTGTCAGTTTCCTGTTGGCCCAGCACGACAGAGTTTCTGTTTCTCTAAATCTTTCAAAGAAGATTGTGTGTGTGCGTGCGCGTGCATTTGTGTGTGTGTCTGTGTATTTGTGCATGTATGTGCATGCACGTGTGCTTTTGATAATTCATGAAAGATTTTCCCATTCTCTCTGCAACTTCATCAGTTGTAGGAATTAGTCCTAGTAAAAGTTCTCTAGGGGAACTGAGGAGACTGAGTCAGGAGAGCATTCGCACACACTGAGTTAGAGCCTGAAACCTCCATTTGAAAAAGCTAGGCATGAGGGAGCACACTTGTAATCTCTGCACTGGGAAGGCAGAAACAGGAGGATTCCTGGAGCTTGCTGGCCAGACAGTCTAGCCCACCTAGTCAGGTCCAGCCCTGTCTCAGAAAGCCAGGTGGAAGCAGAGGTTGTCTCCTGTCCTCCACACATCCACACATGTACATGTACTGTACACATGTGAATGTACACACACACACACACACACACACACACACACACACACACACACACACACCGAAACATATTGTCTATGCCTCAAGTTGCTTAGTTCTAGACAAGTAGGGTGGGGCCTGAGGAGGGGGCAGCTTACTGGTTTTTTATTTGGTACAAGTCTCTTCCTCCTGCCCTTTTGTTCATCTGGTATTGGGGGGCGCTGGGAGTGGGTCAGAAGTTGAGAGGATATGTGTCTCTCTATTAAATCCACAGAGGTGTTGTTCTTTTTTCTTCTTGAGGTGGTGGAGTGATGTGGATTCTAAGAGACATATAGGAGGAGTAGGTGGCCCACAAAGAGTGTCAGATGGGCCGAAAGGCCAAGGGGTCAGGTGAGGAGGCCAAAGGCTCCCAGAGCCTCAGTGGTATGCACAGCTGAGTTCCATTAAAGTTGTTGCACTTCATTGATTGATGAAATTTATTTAAAAATAAAAAAAAAGCAATTCACAGTATGTGTTGATCATTGACAATACAAAGAAAAGACATGTCACGTGAGGCCCAAGGACATTCTGAAAATATGTTACAGCAGTGTTGCTTTTCAAAATGGAGAATACAAGTAACCAGCTGAGCGTGGTAGGCATACCTGTAAATCCCAGCATTCACAAGACTGAGGCAGGAGCATCATGGGTTCAAGGCTAACCTAGGCTACATGGCAAGATCTTGTCTGAAAAAAGGAGGGGGATGCCAGCAGCCAGGACACAGAACATTAGGTAGAATTTGTATTCAGTTGTATTATGATCCTACTGGCTTTCTTTATTGTAAGGTTTTAGATCCACACCCATGCAGAGACCATCCTCTCATGCAAACATATGTGTTCTTCTCTTTCAGTACGGGCCCTACTCTGATGTGTCAGAAATCACCACGGCCGCAGGGCCCCCGGGGCAGTGCAGAGCGCCCTGTCTGTCCTTCACACCTGACGGATGCGTGTTGGTGGGTTGGGAGGTGAGTCAGGTACATCGCTTCTGTGGCTTCTGCCTTCACCCCCAAACACTAAGTTGATGGTTGGTTGCACCATTTCCGGTTGTGGAGGTGGTCAGAGATGAGAGGAAGCCGAGTGTCACCCTCTCGTTATGTGCATTGGACCACCCTGGGGCATGTTGCCTCCTCTCGGTGAAATGACTGACTCCAAACGTGTGCCCTGCAGAGTCCTGAAAGCCCTGGAGCCGACATCTCTGAGTACAGGTTGGAATGGGGCGAAGACGAAGAATCTTTAGAAGTCATTTACCATGGTCCAGACACCTGCTTTGAGATTCAAGATCTGTTGCCTGCTGCGCAGTATTGCTGCAGACTACAGGTAGGTGACTATTCAGAGACTACTTTCAAAGACAGGGATTCCCTGACAGGTACTTCAGGAACCCTACCAAAGGCTCTAGGGGAGGGCTCACAAGAAAAAAGAATCCTATGTGCACTGGGAGATGATGCCCTTAGAACAGTACTTGACACACAGACATGGAGGTGTGAGTTCAGACTCCCCACAGGCACATAACAGCTAGGTGCTATAGTACTTGTCTGTAACCCCAGCATTGGGGGTGGATAGACAAGATACAGGTGAGTTCCAGAGACCTTGTTGGGCAACCACTAGCCAAACTAGTGAGCTCCACTTTTAGTGAAAGACTGTCTCAGAAAATAAGATGGAGAACAGAGAAAAAGACACCTGATGTTGACCTGTACCCTGCACACACACACACACACACACACACACACACACACACACACACACACACACACGGTGGGCACGTCCGCACATATACATAGCTCCATACACACATACCGGGTGCTTGCTTTGGTGGTTTACAGTTGATTTCACTTTCCTAAGAGATTATAACCTCTAAGAGCAAAACCAGATTCTTCTCTGCTCTTCCACACTGGTTTCCAGCACACTGGACAAGTGACCTAGACCCAAGGGGAAGCTCTCCCAATTCCTCAAGAAAGATGCATTTGAATTCCACTTGTGTGGGAAAGTGGCTTGGAACTGGCACAAAGACAGGAAATTCATAGATAGACCAGCTGTTAACTGAACTATAAACACAAAACAAATATTTCAGTCATTTGAGCTAGTCTCCTGCCTTAGTTTCTTTCCCGTTGCCGATGGAAGGGAGAAGGAGTTTAATCTGGCCCACGGTTTAAGGTGCAGTTGATGCAGCATGGCAGGAAATGGAAGCAGCAGGGCCTTGAAGCAGCTGGTCATAGTCACATCCAGTCAGAAAGCAGAGTGGTGACGGTCATGCTGATACTCAGTTCCCTTTCTCTGTGTACACAGTCTAGGGTAGCACCAGGGGATAGCACCACGCAGGCCTTCCCACCTCGCTTGTTAACGTAAATCAGCCCTCACAGACATGCTAGAGGTCATTTCCCAGGGGAGGTAGCCTTTCACATTGACCATCATAGGAAGACCAGACATAAGGCTGCTCACCTCCAAGCTTCAGTTTGGGAGCACAGGCAGAGTTAGGCAGGAACCAAGGGTCCTAGCCTGCCACTAGGAGTGTTGATTGTCACAGAGTCCCAGATCAGGAGACATAGAAGGATCAACAGCTGCACTTGTGGGTGGCCCTTAAGGCAGCCTGTCTCTGAGCACATTTAGATTTCAGTAGATAAAGAAAAAGATGACAAGCTTACGTTTCCGCCTACGTTCGGCCCTGCAGCAAATGGCGTGGTAGACATACGCTTAACATCCCTGGCCTTGTTATGGAAGATAATCCTTTTGTAAGTTAATTTTCCAGATCAGCCAGGGCTTTTCCCTTGACTTTGGAAGCCTGCCTCATCTTAAACATTTCTCATTAAACACCTTCCTGGCAGTGCCCTTCATTCCTGGGTGAATGGACCACCATCACGTCAATAGCCCTTTGTCAATGAATCCTTGCCATAGCACGGCATCTGGTCTTCGTGTCAGTGAGGCTACGGCACAGGAAGAGGGTTCACTGAGTACACATGGGAACAGGCCAGGTCCTAATACAGAGCCGTCTGCTGTCCCGTTAGAGCTCCCACCCGCCCTGTGCTTCTTGAGCTTAGCTGTCTTATTAATGTGTCCTCCCTTTTTCCTGTAGGATACATGTCACTCAGTATTGGCTCCCCAAACTGTTTTTAAGAGTGATCAGAATAGAAGCTGCATAGTAGCCCCGTTTCTCTGTTAGCAGCTGGGGGTAGAAAATGTTTCTAAATGTCTGAGCTTGTCATGAAATGACCAGACCCTTTGAAAGCAGTCTCAGCACTTCTCACACCACTGTTGCTGGGCTGAAGAAGTGCCACCCATCTCTTCCGTCATTACTTAGTCTTGGTATCTGTGGACCACATACAAATTGCAAATTCCAGCCACTTGACATGACTGTGTGGTCAAACCAGCCCTGAATAGTCTTTTGAATATTTGACATTCCAAAAAAATCATTTTTCATAACTACTTTTTTTTCTTAAAAGTGGTTTAAAACATGGTTTTGTTTTGCTCAGGAATGTTTGTCTTGTTCCTTGGGGATATTTTAGTTAAGTGTCTTGGTTAGTGGTAGAACCATCCTTGCTAGGCCTTGAATTCATCCCCATCTGTCCCCGAACATGAACACACACAAAAGAATTACCAAAATAAATATTCACAAGAGGTGTTTGTGCTTCATGGCTGTAGTACTGCTTAGTAAAAGATGCTTTTAAGTTTCTTTTGAAAACTTCAACTCAGAAGTGTGTGAACCAAGAAAGAGTTTTCTGTACAGCCTAGCCTGCGAAGGGAAGTAGGGCACTGGACAGAATCCTGAGATGGAAGAGAGCGTTGTTGGGAAATGTGGTGAGGTTTGAATTAGGCCTTGGGTGGTTAGAAGTTCAGTCCCAAAGATAGTTTCTAGATTGGTTTTTCTTTCTAATTTTTTTATTTATTTTTGTTTTATATGCATGGGTGTTTGCCTGAAGACTTATCTGTGTATCACATGCATGCAATGCTCACATAGGCCCGAAGGGGTTCTGTAGTTACAGATGGTTGTGAGCTGTCATGTGGGTCCTGGGAATTGAACCCAGGTCCTCTGGAAGTGCAGCCAGTGCACTTAACCGCTGAGCCGTCTCTCCAGCCCCAGGTGCCTGTTTTGATCATTAGTTTCTGGTGTGTAAAATAAGGGCATTAGGGGAGGCATGGTAAGAGATGTGCAGAAGTTAGCTTTCCTGTGAGTCCAAAGCTAGCTCAGAATAAAGAGAGTAGAAAAGGCTGGGAACTGCTGCTCTGTCTGTGGTCTTCGCAGCTGGAAGTTAAGATGCCTACTGTTGGCCTGTGTGACTTTATCACCACTTCACTGGTACAGTCATTCAGTGGCTTGGCATCACCAACCCATGTGACCGCTGAGGCTGTTAAATGATGGACTCAAAGTCTGAGCTGAACTCAACTCTAAAAGCCATCTTGCTTCCCTTCTGCTACGTGGTGATACAAAGCCTTTGCAGAAAGGACCCCTGGCTTCCACTGTATCTTAATTCTTCAAGTCTTTGTGATAAATTTATGTCTAAATAAACTCTGTGGTTCTGTTCGAGTGTTACATTGAACCAGGCACACAAATAAATGAGCTCTGTCTGTGACAAGTGGGATGATGAAGTAGGATGCTCAGCAAGAGTGTGCAGAGAAGGTCTGAGATGAACAGTGTCTGGGAGAAAGGCCTCTGGACAGAGGAAACCACAAGGGCACAGGTCCTGAGGTGGATGTCCATGAGGACCAGCAAGGAAGTCAGCGGAGCCAGTAAAAGTGTCAGCGAATGAAGAAGTCCGAGTGCTAACGGGCACTTTTGAAGTGCGGTAGGAGCACCAAACAGGGTCTCTGTGTGCATCTGTAGTGAAGGGGCTGCCGTCTTTATTCTGAAGAAGATGGAGGCTATTGTAGGCTTCAAACTAAAAGTCCTGGAGGGAGAACAGTGGCTAACAGCACTTGTTCTTCCAGAGAACCCAAGTTCGAGTCCCACCACCCATGTCAGGTTGCTCACAGCCACCTGTAACTCCAGCCCCAAGACATCCAGCTCCCTCCTCTGGCCACATTAGTCACCTATACATGTGACATATACTCAGACACATACACATGAATAAAAATAAAATTTAAAAGCAAAGTAGGTCCTGACTTGTGTATTATCATGTCCTTCTAATCGCTGTGGGTCCAGACTTCTGGGGTCGGGCCAGTGCAGTACCAGGGAGGGTTATCACATTAACTGGAAAGAAGGTGCTTGGGCTAGGGAGACTTCAGATAGTCTGATGGGCAGGACATGGGTGATTGGGAAACAGGTGTTCCCAGGAACTCTGGATGTACCCTGAACAGCTTGGAGGATGGGGAGGATGGCAGGAAATATGGTGAGATTTTAAAGGAGGAATGGGGTGGGACTGAGGAACCTACTGGATGTTCACATGACACCCTAGACATCAGGGCAGAGGTGGAAAACAGTTAAGGATGACCCCTGACCTCCTCATGCAAATGCATGTACACATATGAGTGTACACAGACACACACACACACAAATGCATGTACACATATGAGTGTACACAGACACACACACACACACACACACACACACACACACACACACAAAGTTAACATTTGCTATATGGAGGTGTTAGCATGTGCTGATGGTGTCACGTGACTTGGCTACACTCTTCTGTTTTCCAGGCCTTTAATCCAGCAGGTGCAGGGCCGTATAGTGAGCTTGTCCATTGCCAGACACCTGCCTCTGCCCCCGACCCTGTGTCCACGCTGTGTGTCCTGGAGGAGGAGCCCCTCGGTGCCCGCCTGGACCCACCCTCCGTGTGCCTTGTGCTGAACTGGGAAGAGCCGTGCAGTAATGGATCGGAAATCGTCGCTTACAACCTCGATCTCGGAGACACTAGCATCACTGTGGGCAATACTACCACACACGTGATAAAGGACCTCCTTCCAGAAACTACATACCGGTGAGTGCAAAAAGCTTGTGTAAAAACCTGGTCCACAATGTCAGTTCCAGGGCTGAAAATCCTTCCAGAGACTACATACCGGTAAGTGTAAAAAGTGGTGTGAAAATTAGCCCACAGTGTCATTCCAAGACTGAAAGTCCTTCCCAAGCTCTTATGTCCCAGCCCTTCTTCCTCTTTAACATATTTGAAATATACTAACTGAAATATTTAGTACTAAATGAAATATAGCTTAAAGCTCATATTACTTTAATATGATAAAGTGATAAATTCCCATAATTCCTAGCTTCTGAGGGAGAATTTCACTTCACACGTGAAATCACTTTCCCTTCCTATCCCCTTGGTTTTCCATTTTCCTTCATGTATTTTTTTCTGTGATTCATCTGACTGCATACTCCATCCGCAACCACATTCCTGACAACCTTCAAGCCAGGCACCCCCATTCTGCTGCCTCCCCAGAGCAGACACAGGGGTCCCAGAGCACACGTCACAGAGTTCACTCGGAATTCCACAATGGGACAGAGAAAAGTGACATCACGTACCTCGTGTAACATCAGCTACCATGGGTAATCCCTTCTCCCTCTGAGTTCCTCATGCTGGGGAGAGACTTCCACTTGCCCACTGTCTCTCCTGCCTGGTTCTTCAGATTTTCAAAACACTTAGCACTCTCTCCAAGTCAACATAAGTCAGGCAAAGCCTCAAGTGCAGCCAGCAGGACATGTCACTGGGAGAGATCCAGAAAGCAAGTCTTGATAATCAAGTGTGGCCCAGCGGGGCTCCTGTCTCAGACTCTGGATTGGCAGGTGGGGTATGCTGGCTCAGGCCAGGTCTCCTCTGTGTCCCGTTCCCCTGTAAGAAGAGGAAAACAGGATGATTTCCCAGGCAGGTATCTGGTAAGGACTAAATAAGTAAATAATTCTAATGCTTACAATTGAGCCAGGAGTAGCACAGTTGGTGTCCAACAATCTGGTCACGTCGAAATCCTCTTCCAACAAAACTCCTGCTTCCTGGGGGCTGGGATGGTGGAGGGGAGCAGCCAGACTGCTTATTTTCTGCACTGCTTTCTCATTCTCTAGTCTGAGTTTGTGAGCACATGTGGATACACTTGTATGTATATGTGTGCATGTGTACATATCGTGTGTGTGTGTGTGTGTGTGTGTGTGTGTACACATGTATGTGCTTATAGAAACCAGAGGGATCTTTGAAGTTATTCTTCCTCGGGTGGTTCCACCTTGGTTTGTTTGGTTTTGGATGGTTTGTTTTTTGTTTGTTGTTTTGGTTTTAGTTTGATTTGGTTTAGTTTGAGACTATGTAGTCCTGGCTGGCCTAGAACTCAATATGCAGACCTGCTGGTCTTGAATTCAGACATCTGTCTGCCTCTGCCTCCCAAGTGCTGGCTCCTCCCCACACCTGGGGCTGGCTGCTTAGTCTCAGGTGGCTGGCCTGTAGTTGTAAGTTTTCTCCAGTCCCACCAGCCCCACAGTCCCTCAGCTGCTTATAAAATAATCATTCAGAGGCTTCATATTAATTACCAACTGCATGGCCTATGGCCGACTTCTTGCTAGCTACCTCTATCATTTTAAATTACTGCTGGCATGTTGATCCTTGGCTGGCATCTCCCCAGACTCCTCCTTGCCATAGGCCAAAGCAGCTTATTTATTAACCAATGGGAGCAGCATATCTTCACAGCGTACAGAAAGACATCCCCCAGCACTGGCCAGTGAGTCCAAGTCCACGCCCATACTCCACCTCCCCATTGCTGGGATTACAAGACAAAGCCATCACTTGGCTTTTTTTACATAAATTCTGAGACTCGAACTCAGTTCCTGATGCTGCAGGACAAGCCATGTGCTCGACTCTCCTTGCTATCCCAGAAGCTGAAGAAGGAGGCGGCAGCTCAGCAGCTGTGAGGTCCAGATGCTGCGTCCTGGCGTTTCTGATCATCTATCTCTCATTTTCCAAATACCTCCTTTCTGCGTAATTCAAAGCCTGTTTTGCTTTTCAGAACAGCAACAGCATTTTCCTTGTTTGTTTTATACATGCTCACTGCCGAGCGCCCTCTTGGCCAGTGTGCCTGGCAGGTTTAGAGAGCACTTGAAGATCTCAAGGACACTTAAGCGACAGTTTTGGAGAACAGATGATCAGCAATGAAAGGAGCATTGCACACACGGAAGTCCATGGTTCACTGTAGCAACACTAATGGGAACGGCGGCACTAGTGAGGTCTGGGCTGTGGCTCACAGAGTCCTTGCTTAGAATGTATGCAGCCATGGGTTCCATGCTTAACTCTTAGACACACACAAAAGTAGGAAAAAAGTCAGAAGTGAGCAAAGGGGGATATGGCTGGTGAGGTGCTCAGCTGGTAAGGTGCTTGCCTCTGGAGTACATCTGGATACTGTATATAGAAGTCTAGTCAACACATAGCTGTCCGATTCTACATTTCAGAAACAATTATAGCAATTATAGTGAGCCCTGGCAATGACTGTTTCAGAACAAATCTAAGGGCTTAATTTTGGTCTGGCCAACTTTCCCTCACCTTTTTCTGTCCCATAAGTTGGTTAAAATACAGGCAAGATGATCACCATGTGTGAGGTTTAGATAAAGAACTTGTGTCTTTATTTTTTATTAGTATTTTTGTATGTGTCTTGCCTACATGTACGTCTGCACAATGTGCATGCAATGCCCACCAATCCGATGAAGTTTTAGACAGTTTTAACTCTCCATGTAGATACTGAGACTAGAACCTGTGTCCTCTGGAAGAGCAGCCAGTGCTCTTAACCACCAAGCCATCTCTCCAGCCCCCTTTGTTTATTTGTGAGTATAGGAGTTGCGTGTCATTTTCTCTAGACTGTGCATCTGTAGTGACCCCCTGGGACAGAGCGGAGTTCCAGCAGACCCGTCTCCTGGTGCTGTGAGCACTGCCCAGTAAGGGTTTGCTGGTACAACATGTATTGGAAATTGGGCTGGAATTAAAAAGCAATTGTTCAAAGTATTACATTTACGTTTAGAACTGTATCTGAAATTAAATTTGTGCTTTGGATTGAAGAGAAAAAATGGAAAACAGATTTCCTTTGCACATGTCCTGCCAAGTAGAGTCACAGACCATAAGCAGAGAGCGGCTTGGGGTCACCTGGTGACACCCGTCTTGTCCTAGACATGAGCAGTTCCATGACAGGACAGTGGTCCAGCTTCGGCTTGCCGGGCAGTTCAGCTCGCCCCTTGAACTTCATCAAAACCTGCTTGGCTCTAAAGCCACTTTTCAAGCGGTGCTTCTCAGGAGTGTGTCCAGGGTTAGCAGCGCTAGTGGAGCTCCTGGAGAAGGTGCAGAAGACCAGGTCTCACCCCAGGCCTGGGAAGTAAGTGAGGTAACCCAGGCTCAGAAAAGTAAATACAGGAGGCTCCCGCTCAGGAGTGGATCTTAGCTTCTATGGCTTATATGGGAGTGAATGGGTAGATGCCAGCACCCTGGAAAGGGGAGAAACTACCCGTATGGGCAGGGACTAGAACACATAACAAAAGTCAAAGGGAAGATACTGGGGGTACGAAAGTTTGGGCGCAGGAAGATGGACAAGCCAAAGCAAGTGTGTATAAAATGTCCTAGGGAAACGTGCTACTTTGCATGCAGAGAAAGGATGAGCTCGGCATGGTGGTACATGCCTTTCATCCCAGCACTCTAGAGTTGGAGACAAGTGGATCTCTCCAAGTTGGAGGCCAGCCTGGTCTACATAGCAAGTTCCAGGCCAGCCAAATAAATCAATCAATAAAGAGTGAAATAAAATTGTTGCTGAAGAAATGACTCAGCAGTTATCAATATATACTGTTGTTGCAGAGGACCCAAGTTCAGTTGCAGTACCCACATCAGGTGACTCACAACCATCTGTCCTATGTAATTCAGCTTCAGTGGACCCAGTGCCCTCTTCTGGACTGCAGGCACCCACAGACATGTGGCATACACATAAGTTAACAAATAAATTACAACAGCAAAAGAATTTTAAATAAAATTTAGGGCCAGCAATATGGCTCAGCAGGTAAAGGCGTCTACTGCTAAGGCTTCGGACCTGAGCTTAACCCCAGAACTGACGTCGGGGACGAAGGGAACCGACTCTGCGAATGGTTCTCTGACTTGTGCTGTGACATATTTGCAAACACACACACACACACACACACACACACACACACACACACACACACACACACACACGAATTGATTAGGTAAAAAATTGTCAGGAAGAGAGAAAAATGCATCTTGGATAGGAAGCTTGGCCCTGAGATGGAACACCATCATTTGAAGGCTGCCCAGTACGTGGCATTGTTGCCATTTTAGCGAGTACACCGAGGTGCACAGATCCCCGGGCGCAGGAAGGAGAGGCAGACTTGAAACTAGAATCCGAACTCCTTTCTTCATGTACGGACACTTTCCTGTTGTCCAACTCTTTATGCCCAACACAACTTCAGGACTCGTGACTGGTTGTCAGTGGGTCATGGATAAAACGTGGGGGCAGTTGTTAATAAGTCTAGGGTGGGGCCTGGACTCTAGTTTAATTAGCCTTCCATGAGAAGCATGTTTAAGTGTGAAAACCTCTGCCTGGAAGTGTCAGTGCATATGCAGGTTGAGAGGATAGGTGTCTGAGCCCCACGTCTGTGAACCGTGGCCTAGTGGGCCCCATCAGGGAACCTCGTAATGGCAGCCACCTTTGTCCCACCGCCCTGGTCAGCCCACTCTTGCCTAGCATGACTTCCATGGCCTCCTTCGTTATCCTCTGACAGTCTGTCTCCTGGTGGCCTCTCTTTGCACAGCAGTGATCTGTCTTGCCTTGTGGTGTTTGGGGCGATGCAGGGGACTGCAGCTGCCTCCCTCCATCCCGAACTGGTAGTGAGGTCACCTAAGATCACAACCTCATTATATGTCTGACTCACACTGAGCTGCTGAACAACGAAAAATTAAAATAGGTTTGTTTGTTACACTCACTTATGCCCATTTTTGCTAAGTAGAAGGGGGTGAAA